TGAGACGAACACTTGTAGACAGCCTAAACTCATGATGACAAAATCGATGAGCACTGATGCAATAAAAGTGTTTACCTATACGCGGAGCACCCTAAATTGGCTGACCTCATTGTTTACTGGATATGGAAACTTTTAGTATCACATCAAAAAGATAGCTCTTGTTTAGGAAGACTATGTGTAGACGAAACTTTGTGTGTCTTGGAATAGACCGATTACTGATACTGTAAGTGTTAAAAAACTATAATTGTTGATTGAAATTTCCATAAGCTGTGGGTTATAAGCTTATTCTAATTAAAAATCACAACTATTGTTATGCTTTTTTTGTGGTGAGGAGGTGGAATTTCTATGCATCTTCAGACCGATCGTCGTTGGAATGGTTGGGAAATTCATTGAAAAATTCGGCGAAAATTATTCCCCCTCGGAATCGCTTTAGGATTACTTCGAGGAAATATTTAAAGTTTAATTAACAAATGATGGATATTTGGCAATACTCTCGAAACAGCTGTATGGCCAACCAAAAACTCAATTAATTAAAATAATATAAATGAATTTTTGTTGTTCTAGTTCAATAATTTTTGAAACTTCTTTAAAAACTATGTTTGTTTCTGTTAAATATAACAATTGCTTTCGTTTTAAACTGACGTTAAATTACAACAAATTTATTTCTATATCTGAAAATCAATCTTTAATTTGTAAATTAGTCTACCATATTATTTATTATAAATTAATTTGAAAATTGTATGGCAACACAGTTCATATATGCTAAGCCTTCTTGCTCCTAAAAATTTACAATAATTATGTATATTTCATTCATCTGTAATTTAACTTAACAATAATATTAAATATAAATAGTGATTAAAGTATGCAATTTAAAAAAAAATAAAAATTAACTCTATTAAAGAATAATAATAATAATATATTTTTGCATTAAATAAGAGACGACACATTAAATGTGCTCCCATTACAGTTAATTTCCTCACAATTATAATAGTCTTAAAGTTTCTTCGCATTTTTAACCAATGGTTGCAATTATCCTTGTATTCGAGAATCGATTTAAATCTCATTTTGCATAGTAATTACACTATTCGATCCAAAATGCCAGACGGTAAACGTCAATAAAACGGGAGCATAACAGGGATTGCATGCCAGCTTTTAACTTTTATTACTTTTTAAAAAATGCAGTATTAAAATTTATTAATAAAAGGTTTTTACACACATATTTAATTACATTCTTACCGCAGTATATTGCAAGTGTAAGAGACCCGCTGGATTAAACGTCTGTCCCTTAGCTTACATTATTATTAATAAATTTTTTTTACTTTGAACACTTTTTTGCTTATGCAAAGCTTACGCTTATGTCTGCCGGAATATTACTTTTCAAAAATTTTAGTCATACCAGTAGAATCGCATCAATTTCATCGATTTGTGAATATTCAAGTCCACCACGCTCCGTGGCCAGTGGTTTAATGTCCAAGGACTGCATACAAATGCTTCAAAGGATCGTATCGGCTGGACGTGTGCGTTCGATGTGTGTCCAACGTGCTATAAACTGGATTACAGTTTCATTTAAATTTGCATTTAAATGAGTACTTCACCAATCAAAAAGCTCAAATGAACCAACGACCACAAAGAAAGATAAACAAAGGCGTACCACAATGCAACATATTCTGTAGTGTTTACACGTTCACCTAAGTGCTTACACGAGTATGTGGTCCATGGGAATGGCACCACTACCAACCGTTAAAGGTTTTCAAATTGGTTTTTCATTCCATACCATTTTATTCACTTTCAATTTTCTTCCCTTTATTTTTCTTGATTATTTTATTGTAAACTTTAATGGATAAAAATTATTGTGGTTTTACTTAGTACGAGTATTAAGGATGAAATTAACTTTTCGTATGAAAAGGTCCTTCTTTTTGCATTTTCAATTTATTAGGATTGGAATAAATTACTCAGTAAATAATCATCAATGAATGACGCTTCTAATTAAAAAAATAATTTCTATTATTTTACAGATCAGTTTAAAAAAGAACTTGTCAGTGATATGATCTTCCACTGGAGTCGAAGAAATAAAAAATAAGATAGAAACTGTGACGAAAGAACAACAAACTGCCTTTTAAGTTATGTTAAGATTTTAAGGTATTAAGACCATTAGATTTTAGATTTTCAGATTAGGGATATCGCTGTTTACTAAAAACAATTTAAAAAAAAATTCTAAAAAATATCATCCTCACTGAAATTATGGAAATGGAAAACGAATTGGGAGTTATAAAAAGAAAGACCATACTTTTGCATTTTATATGTAATAAGACTTTTAGTCGAACTCATCACGAGATTCAAGATTCCATTGTTAACTCAGATCAGTAAAAATGTTTTATGAAATATAATGATATAAATAGCAAGTTATAAATGCTTATACATCCAGATTAACATGGCCAATCTATAATAATAATTCTATAATTCCGATTTTGTAAGGTAATTATTTAACCTGTAGTGCCCTGTCAGAATTTCCGTAATGATTCTTACATTATTTATACCAAGTGCCATACAATCTTTAAATCGTTGTAAGTTGAAAGTCTCTTCAAGCGATTTTAATTGCAATAACTCTAATCTATTAGCACAGAATAGCACAACCTTTTTTATTTTCAAACCCACTGTGTTTAAGTGAGTGAAAAGAAATTAACTTTTCTACAGTTAAAGAATGGTTCCGGGTCTTCGAGAAGCGAGGCTGCCACTTTCTCGATAAGCTTAGCGTAAATTGAAGCAAAATATTTCAGGAAAGCTTTGAGTCCCAAAGCCCTGTTTTATACTGTATAACCTAATGAATGTCAACTTGGTTTTAAACAAAACATGAAACCACAAAATAAGTTTAGTGACTTAAAAATTAAATTCACAAGATTTTTTTCGTTATATAGCACAAGTATGTTATAGAATTCAACATTAAGACCTAATGTGTAAAATTATTTTATATTTTTATATTTTATGCTCACAAAAACCTTATAATTTTTTAAAATGGTAACTGAAGCATAGAATATTCGACAGTAAAACGACAAACTTTACTTTACCCAATTCTGTGTCTAATTTACACAGCCAACTTGCCAATTCCACCAAAAATCGTCATTCCAACCTTTGCAGATAATACAGCAATCCTTACTACTGGAAATACCATATAGGAATCAACAGAAGCAACGCAAGGAGCAAGGAAGGAAAAGAAATTCATCCATATAAACCTCTCAAATAAAAAAATCGTCTATTTGTTGATAACTATGTCCTGAGATCGAATACCACACTTAAATACAGCTAAATACCATGACATGAACTTATATGTAAAGTTGACATAGAAAAAAAATATAAACATATAAAGAAAAAACGAATTGAGCTAGAATCAAAATATAAAAAATTATATTGCCTTCTTGGGAAAAAAAAACCCGTCTCTCTAAGCAGTAAATTAGTGATATACTCGCAAGGCTTAGCTCCGGTATGGACGTATGAAATCCAGTTATGGGGTTGTGTACCAAAACCGTTCATTCAAATCATCCAAAATTTCTACAACAAAGTCCTAAGAAATTTAGTCAACGCTCCGTGGTTCATTAGGAATACGGGTCTCCATCGGGACTTGAAGATCAAATCTGTAAAGGCAGTAAAACAAGAGCCGTCTCTCAGAGTAATGTTCTGTATTCAGTGCTATAGTTAGCCGTTTTTCATTGATAAATCGAGATTCGCTTTTTGTGCAATTTTCACTTTTGATTGTTAAATCTGGAGTGAAATGTATTACACTCGAGATTAATTTATATCACTCTAGATATGTTGTCAGAGTAACTAGATTACTCTGAAATTAACAACTGTTTTATAAGACTTAACAAATAAAATGTGAATTTATTCGTTATATGTTATAAATTTATGAAAAATAATATATAAATATTTACTATTTACGAATGACATCTTCAGGGACCTCAAGATTGGTCCCATAAAAAAATACATAAAGGATAGAGTCCTGAAATTATTTGCGAAATCTGACAGACTTACTAACACCGCGTTATCAAATCTTAGAATGGTTACAGGCTCCTCGGGGAGATATGCAGATCTGAGGTCAGTTATTGCTTAGCCTGATGAAGTGATAAACAATAATCCAGTCAAGGCGCAAAGAGGGGTTTTGTAGAAACCACGCAGTTAATAGAGAGTAAAAGTGCTCAGGTGCACTGACTCAACTCAACTAGCCTCAACATAACAAAAATGTTAGATTACTCTAAAAATGTTCGATTGGACAACAAAATTTGATAGATCAAGTGTAAATCTAAATCAAATCCAGATGTACCAATCGAAAGCAATATTAGTTAATATTTAGATCTGTTTACCAAGTCTTACCGTTGCTCTTACAACTTTGCTTATAACAGAGCTAATTTTGAATCAGAAAAAAAATCATTTTTGTTTCTTATAAATATAAAGATATAAGATATAAGCTATAAAATATAAAGAATATTTTAATGTATAAAAAACACTGCGGTATAACATAAATATTAGAGAAGAGCAATCATTATGTTTGCATATATTTTAAGTACTAACTCTGGGCACTCCCTATCTTTGTAGCGTTTATACGCAAATTACGATGCGTACCGGATTTATTACAGTAACAATCGCGATGAAGTACCTAAACAGAATAATTGACGAGTATAGAAGGTTTATGTTAATAGTAATATCGATAACGTATTTAAACTCTGTGTTCGTGGTGTTGACTTGGTCAAGTTCAAATGAATTTTAAAATTAACAGATATTCGCAATTTTATTGTTAAAAAATATTGTGCGATTTGAGCTCATGAAGTAGAATTCACGCCTGGTTAAGTTCCAAACTCGGTACACAGCGACGGGAGTTGACCAAAAATAGCATTGGAAACTTAGAAATTTTTATTGTTTATTTTGCACTTTGTATGTCAATTAATGTCGGAGCTACTGTTAAAAAATTTGTTAAAAAAAAATAAATATAATTTTTTTTTCAATGTAGCGTGAGATTTATTTTTTCAATTTGTTAGCGAGTTTTTTTTAATAATATAATAAGTTTGATCGCATCACATGATTTCGATATTCACATATCTTTTCACAAGTACAAACATACAAAAGTGACAGCATTGAGTATAATAAAATTAGCGCCTTAAAATAAAATTGATGAATAAATATAAAAAAAACACAATATAAAAAATCGAAGGCAACACTTAAACTCTTGATGAAAGTATGACTGGCTCAGCTTCAATTTCTGCAACCTTTTCCTTTAGTTCCTTTTCAGCTTCTTTAAGCTCCTTGATTGGCGCCTGAGTTGGAGCTGAACTAGAGATGGCCGTCACCACTGAAGTGGATGTATTTATATCGCTTGCTGGAGAACTTGCGATTTTTTCATCACCATTAATTGCTGGCGTTGGGGTTGGCGTTGTGCTGACAGCTAATAAAACAGTAGATTCCACGTGTTGAGTGGTCACAGTACCAGTTATACCACCAGTAGAAGTAACTATTACTTTCGGGGTTGTATCTGACGTAACTGCAGGTTTGCTTGTGGTTTCAGCATTCTGACTAATTTCGACGCTCTTCTCCGTTGTGGATGTTAAAGCGCTGGCATCACTGAAACTAATTTTCGTTACTTTCACATTCTCAACTTTCGAACCATCTTCAGTGATAGCGGCTGCCTTCACTTTTGTGTGTTGCACTTGAAAAGCTGGTATAAGTGGCAAGCTGCCATGATGTGGCTGTATTGATATACGATCAATTATTATATGTGCTGGTACACCCTCTTTCTCTGGTACTTTTTGTGTATGTTGTAAAATTGGTATGATCTCGTCTGATGCTAGAGATTTAGCAACAGCGATATCTTGTGGAATTGGAGTAGTTGGCTTATCAGCATCTACTGGTTTATCGTCTGTACTGCGTTTGTTGACGGTGTGCTCGTCACTTTTTGGTGTTACCTCTTCGACTGCGGCATCATCACTACCCGCAAAACTGCTGACACTTAAAGCAGATTGGAATAAACTATCTTCCAAATCACCAATGAGAGATTGTAAAGAAATTTGCTTTAATTCAGCATCGGGATTTTCTTCGTAAACACGTCGTTTGACAATATCATCGGTTTTATCAGGTGTGTTTATATTGATATTTCTTAAGAAACCGGGAAATAATTCGATAGGTGCTGCATAAGTATAATTAATTACTACAAGAAAGCAGATTACCTATAAATGAATAAAATAAATTTAATTTTATTCAAGTTCCATATCAATAAACTAAATTAAAGAAACTTACAGCAAAAAATGAGAGCGATCGCATCGTGCCGCAAAGTGTTTTATTGCTGGGCCGCTCGACTATTCAGTTCTTTCCGCTACAAAATTTTACTTCGATTTGAACGTTCACAGTATACAATTAAGCCGCTCGCAAGCTAAGCTTGCACTTAAATAGTCTAGGGAAGCTTTAAAGCTTGGAAACGATTTCGCTACTTCATTTTTGTGCTAATTAAGCTCACTGAAGCTGCTAATAGGCTCGCTGTACCGCAAAGGAAGCGCAGACAACTTAATAAGAAAATAAGTGATTTATTTGGAGACGTAGTTCAAATTTTTGTAAAAACAATAATAAACGCGTAAACACGAGTGTTATTGCGTGTAAGCCCAGACATTTCTGAGAAATTCGATTATTTTCTCCAAATGATAATGTGATTTTTTTAACAATATTTATAACGTCACTATATATCGGAATTGGTCACACTTTAACGTAAACAAAAGAACTACAGAATTCATAAAATTACAATTATATGGATATATAATGGATATATATGAATTACAATATATGGATATACATTAAGACTGAAAAGTTTTCGGAAATTCTCATTTAAAATTCGCGCGCTGTATATTTTTCGATATTTTAAGTTTATGTAGTTTGGCAGCACTGTCCTTAATTACTATGCCAAAAATGAGCTCGATCTGTCAGACAGTTCGTTTACGGCAGCTGTTGAAACCAGTTCACCTCAGTAGTGCGTTGCGAAATGTCTTCGACGGTCGTACGACCGTCCTGGAAGGCTTTGTACCACTCATAAACTTGAGTTTTCGATAAAACTGATTCCCCATAAGCCTTTTGTAGCATTCGCAACGATTCTGCACACGAAATTTCGTTCGAAACACAAAATTTGATGCAAACTCTTTGTTCAATATTTTTTTCCATTGTTTTTTTCGCAACGCCCTACTGAGGTGAACTGGTTTCAACAGCTGCCGTAAACGAACTGTCTGACAGATCGCGCTCATTTTTGGCATAGTAATTAAGGACAGTGCTGCCAAACTACATAAACTTAAAATATCGAAAAATATACAGCGCGCGAATTTTAAATGAGAATTTCCGAAAACTTTTCGGTCACAATGTAGAGCATATAATAAAATAAATAAGCACTCCTTGATGAAGGTACACACAATGCCTTCTTTTATATCTTATTACTAAGCAATTTATATTGTCTTTCAGAGATCCCATGGCATTTGTTTACAAACATTTTTTTATAATTTGGATTTTTTATTTTATTTATACAAAATGGGCTGCTTCCTTATCATAACTGGAGATTATTTGCATTCAAATGGGCTTTGGGTACAACGTCGTCACTCTAGTTTGGAGTGTTTCTTTATAAACACAGTGCTGGAAACCATCATCAAATTTTAAAAATACTTTTCATATTTATCAGCCTGAATTGACATTAGTATATCGTAGAAGGTTTTTAGATAATCGAGATGATATCGAAACTATCTTCTTTCTTTGTTAATTGTAGTTTAAGGTATAACCAGAAGTTGGACTAAATCAAATCCAGTAAATCCGGTTGGTGATTCAAATGATTACATACATACATATTGTGTATATATACTTAATCACAAGATCAAGAGCAAGAAACCTTAATCCAGTAAAAGACTATTATGAAAGAGCAAAAAAAAAACCGCGATTAAAAATTATTTTTAAGAGTTTTTTTAAATAATAGTTTGAGCGTTAATCACATAAACATCCTGAAATTCACTCCCTACGACTTAATTTGAGTGGAATAGGGTTTAAGACTATCCTGGAACTACAGTGAAATAAGTAAATAAATGTGAATGGTGAAATTCCAACACATTGAACCACATACTTTTTTATTCCGGTTTACGTTCAAGTTCAATTAAAAAGAATGTATCAATTTAGTGGGGATAATCTACCAGGATTATAATATTCGAAATCACTTTCAACCAAACACTAATTAAGGATTCCATTCAACTAAATGAAAACAACTTAAAAATTGATAGCACACTATTAGTTAAATTATGGCCAAAAGTGGACACATAGTTTAATGGAACTTGCAGGTTTTTTAAGGACTGAAGGAGACTAAAAACACATGGTGGAAGTTTTCCCGGTACTGATGTACAAGCAAAAGAAATACTTATGGGAGCATTTCATATCGAATGAAGAAACATAACTCTTTTCTCTATTCAATACAATTTATTGAAAAAAATGGACTTAGATCGTAGTGAAGAATCCTTCAACTTAATAATATTAATAAGTTCAGTTTAGGTTTGGTGCTTGAGTTCCGCGTCAGAGTCCTGTTGAACTCGTCTATAAGAAGATATAGAGAGAAGAGAAGATTATATAAGAAGGCATTCTATAAGAATAATGCCTTCTTTTATAAAAAAGCTCTCTTCGTATAAAAGAGAACGGTCGGCATTTAATGGTTTTTTATTTTTGTTATGAAAAGTTATAATCTCAGCAAACATATTTTTGAAAAAATTACGTTTAAAACTTATTTACATATATATCAGAATAAAAAATTTTATTGTAAATATTGTAACAAAATTTCTCTGTTCAAAATTCAAAATTCATTTTTTAGTAGTGTATCAAAATTTAAACATGCATAATAAACTATTGAATCTTACGAAGCATTTATCATCTGGTCTTCTCCATCAAAATTTTTCGTCGAATATTAAAGACATGCAAACAAAAGTCAAAGAACAAAGACTTCTGCAAGAACAATTACTCCTGAAGAAGGCAGAAATATGTAAACCCTCATCGGGTCGTGTGTCAAAAATGATTCAGTTCTTTGAAGATAAATCTAAGGAAGCTTCAGAAGAAATGAAAAGAAATCTGATGCGACGCCCCAAGAACTCACTGCTTACACAAAAAGGTCGATCAGCTTTAACAGATTGGAACGAAGTCTTCAATTCTGCCCAACAAAGAGATAAATCTAGATAAAGAGTCCAGCAGATAACATGAAGGAACTCATGTTACCTGAAAGTTGGGTACAGGTATTATAAATGCAGGAGATAAAATCTTGTAAACTTTTTTGGACACATGATGGCGAAAGAAGGATGCGGATTCAAGAAGTTGTGTAAAGGTGTTTGTAATATTTTTCATGAAGTAATTGTAGCATGAAAACTGATGTTCATGTTTTGTTAATAATAATTTAGGATGAATCAATTTGGATTAATGTGTAGATGCAATTGAATGTCTTTAGCATGATTGGCAATAGCGATTTAAAGAACTTAAATTCAATGGATTTACTGAAAATAGGACAGCTGATATCAAGTAGTATCTTCTGTAGATAAAACTAATATTTTATCACAATCTTTTTGGAGTTGAAGTATTGTTTCAACTACTAAGATCCATCAAATGTTGCGGTATATAAAAATATTTTTTGATGCACTACAATCGTTTGGCATATTAAAGTTAACATTTTGCATAACATTCCCATTGTTTGTTATATAAGTTTACCATATATAATACAATTAGATAAAATACGCTTATATTTTTTATATACTAATAGATTAGATTATAAATCAAAGATGGTGTAATATTACAAATATTGAATAATCAATATGGACTAATTGTTTTGAAAAGTAATTAAAAATAATTGTGTTAGAAGGCGAAACAATGATTTGACTAAAATATTGTTTATAGTATTTTATTTATTTATTTTTCTTTTTTTTTATTACAAAATTCAATAGCAAATTGCAAATCGTAAATAAACAAATTTGTCACATTTGACAAGTTTTGTTTATTACTGACACTGCAACAGCCTCTTGGTAATAATTATCAATTAATAATTATTTATTTGAATAAATCTTTTATATATGTAGGTAAGACTTTGATGAAGCAAACTTCACGGAAATATTATTTTTACTATACATACATGCAAAAATACATAACCGTCATTATCACTGATTAGAGAACTTGATCTGATCAAGTTTTTGCTGCTTTTATTTTGGATCTATCTTTAAGTCTCTTGGATTCAGCAGCCACAAATTTTTATTTTCTGCTTTAGTACAATAATTTCATCTATATTTATTAATGTATATGATTATTAATATATTAATAATAATATATGCTTTGTAATTATATATAATTTAGATTCAAATTTTTTAAATGTCACATGACAAGGAATCTAAATAGAAAGTCGGTAATAGTCAAGTACTCGTAATATAATATTATTAAGTGAATCATTTTTTCAAATATTGTTAAATATTCGTCATTAATGATCTATGGAAATATTCATTGGTTTGAACTGTTTGTACTACAAGCGTTATGTGTTAAAACTGCACATTATCAAATCTAAACCACAAATTGATACTAGCATATCAAACAGGGCTGTCCAGACCAGATGCGATCGTGGGCCAATCAAATTACGTTCATAGTAAATACAGTGACAATAAAAATACGATTATAATGTTAAAATTAGGTATACCATAAAAATAAAATAATGTAATTTTATCAGTACACTAAAAAAAAAATTGCCCGCACAAACATTAGCCACGGGCCGTGCTTTCGGACAGCCCTGTGTTAGACCACTGAGCTAGCCTTATGCTTTATTATCGAATTTGAAGTCTTCTCTATTGACATAGTTATTTTTCAAGAACTATACACTTGCTACTCATATAAATATTCACTATTATTTTAAAACTTAATTCATTATAAAATAAAACTCATCATTATAAAACTATAATCCAATAAAAGAAAAATGTGGATTAATCTTTTCTAAACAACAATAGAAATTTAAAAATGTACAGTCAAAAAATATTTTCTAACAACCAGATCATGATTTGAGGAGTGAGAAATTTCAGATCACAGTTTTAGAATAATGATATCATTAACCAATTTCTTTTACACCAAAAAAGTCTAATTCCTTAATCCCATTTCAGAAATAAAAATAAAAGCAGACATCAGAAACATTAGAAAATTTATTATTTGAATAATAAATGTATCTAATCCAAAATTGTATATAGTATAGAAAATTGTATAGAAAAAAGAAATAGGTATTCTGCAAGAGTTTATTGTAACCACAATTGTAGATAGACAGCAAAGATGCGGATATTTTCTTCCAAAAAACTAAACACTCTGCAATAGGTTATTAAAACTATGATTGAGACTACAATATCATCCAAATAAGGAACCGACAATTAGGGATGCTTTCACCTCATATTCTAAAGCAGGTCAATGTTATTTAAATATTTTCCATTCTCAGATAAGTTTGAAATTGTGATAAAGGAATGAAATCACACCGTATTAACAACATTAATACGTTTAACACCATATTTGATATTTAGGTTGATTAATAGATCTATCAATAGATTAATAGATTATCTAAATTCAACGAGAAGGATCAAGTTTTTTTTTCTTATTCAATTATGATTTTAACGTCAGTTTTAACGGTAGTGACTATATCATTCAATAAAAACTATTGTATTTAATAGAGATGTTTCAAATAGTACTGAATTGCAACAACAAAAATTTGAATTATTTTTAATTAACTGAATTTATGGCTTATCATACAGCCGTATCGACTATTGTGAAATACCCATCATTAGTTGTTTTGCAGTTATTTTTTATATTTAATTATTGGTAAATAATTTTTTTATACTGCAAGTATCAAGAGTTGAATTCTTGCCCTGCCAAATTTGGAGCTCAGAGTCAGTGTTCATCAGCCAACTGATCCATAGCAATACATGACTTGTATTTTTGAACTTTGAGTTTTCTTAATTTTCTGTTTTCTGTTTTCATTTTATATTTTATGATATCTTGCTATGAAAGTCATAGTAAAACGGCGAAAATCAACAAACTAATTATAGACAGTGGAAGGATATCTGCAGACCTGTAACTGCAACTAAACAATTTTCTGGATGTCGTAACAAGTCGAGACTACTTTAAAAGCACCTTTTCTATTGAAAAACTCTGCAAAATCTGTTTTTTTTTGTAGGTTGTAGAGATTATGATACTTTAAAATGAATTAAAAACATTCCGAATGCATTGTTTACTTTAATGCCAGTACAGAATTTTCAAATAATCACAAATTTAATTAAATAAAATTAAAATTTATTTAATTAGCAAAAAGTTGTGTACATAAAAATTTGTTACATATTAACACAAAAAAAAATTAATAAATATAATAAATAATTTTGCTTTTATATTATTTATTGGCATTTAGTCAATAAGTTGTCTCTTCAAGACCCGTTAATTGTTTTTATTGTTAAGTCAACAGTTTAATAAATTGTTATGAAATATTAGTTTATGATATGTATCAAAAAAGAAAAAAAAATATTATTAAAAAAATGATCTTGTCTACAGTGTTTATTTTAAATTGAATCACACCGAAGTGTAAATTTTTTAAATGGAATTTTCCGTTAATTAAACAATATTTTAAATTATATATAGTTCAACTATATATAATATAAAATTAAGCTGCTTTTTTGCTGTTGGAAACCAAAAATTAATAATTAAATCTATAACAAATTTTAGGTAACAAATACCAGCAATTTCTACTTTTTTCAACAACAAAACTGATTTAAACTGATCTTTTTTAGTTTAAGACAAAGCATATAAACACAATACCACAAAAACAATAGCTTCACTGGACCAAAAGTTCCTCATACGTCACATAGACCTGTTGTCAATCGAGCTTAAGATTTGATGAGTCAGCAAACCATTCAGGCTAAATTTTGTTGATCTTATGATAGGTGAAAAAATTTTATATCAAAAATTTATTAATGAAAACTGATATTTTATTATATTATTGGTTTAGCTTAGCTTAGTTAAAGCTTTTAATTAACACATTTTTTGTATGTAAATAATATTGTATACATTATATGAGCCTACTTATGACGTAGTGCAAACACTTCGAAACGAGCACAATTAATTAGCGATTCTTTGCCAAAGTAAAAAAATAATATGAAAAGGAAAAATTTTATTGAATTCAAAACACCTTCGTCGGGTCGGCAAAAAAAAACTCGACTTCGAAGAACACCAGCGATCGTATGAAACAATTAACAAGTGAATTAATGAAACGGGGTCTCACATAGGTAATAAATAAATAAACGAAAATAAAAACAATAAAGCTAAGAGTAAAAGCTATATAAGAGTTGTCAATTTGGAATAAACTTTAAAACAACAGCTCTCCTTGATTAGTATAGTCTAGTTCGTTACCGCGCTTGGGTAACTAAGATTTTCGTCTTCCGTAGTAAACAAAATAGTCCAAAATGAATGTGCGCTTAACCACAATGGTATTAGCCTATGCCTTGGCCACAATATTCGTACTATCACAAGGCTTGCCAGTATTGGACGAATCGGGATTTGATAATGCCACCATTGAGGAACTAAAGAATAGTGTGAACGATACAAAGAAAAATTTGTAAGTATATATTTTTAACTAAAATTAACTTTTATAAAAAGGAAAAGAACTTAAAAATATTATTTTGTTATTGAAAAATTATATTCTTTTTTAAAATTTGCTTGTAATTATAACTACTCTTTATTTTCAGATATGTTGTTAAGGCTGTTGTATATGAAATTGGTATACTAACTGAAGCAGATGAAAATGATACCAGTTTTGAAAGGTGGGTAACATTAATAATTCCATTAAATATTTGTTTTAATGTTTAAAATATAAATTTTATTATTTTTAGTCAAGAACGCGTCGATTTAACATTCTACGATGCTCACACTAACAAGAGTCACATCGATTTAGGCAATATTCCTTTACCCATACAGACAAATGTATCTGGCCAAGTGCTCACTGGCATTGCTCCAGTAAATATCGGTGCGTTCAGCAGTCCAGCTGAACTGTTGGAAACACTTCCATTGACTGGCACCATTGTCAATATCACACACAGCAACACAGCATTCTATCAACTAACTAAATCGAATAAAAGTTCTGGCGAAAAACCGCACGTTGTAGGAAATGATGAGCTAGTGAATTTACCTAATATAGCAAACCTGCTTGAAGCAGTTAGCACCAGGCAGCCTCCGCCACTTAGCACCAAATCGGTATTATCTAATTCACTCGAAAGTATCGATGATTAACAACTTTTTTTAATTTATTATTTGTAACCATCGTCATTAAAGTTTAGTAAAAGACTGTAGACTTAATATTTTTTTACACATTTAAATGTTTTTATCTGTTAAGTGCACACTTTTTGGACTGTACATATGTAAATAATTAAAACGAAAAAAACATCAAACAATTTGGTCTTTGATATTCTATAACATTAAGCAGCTTTCAAAACTTATTTATAAAAATTTACTTAAGCCACGATAGAAAAAAAATAACATAAATATATAGCATTATAATATACATAATAGTTATTGTTATAGTAACAATTGTTAAATAGTTTGAATATTAATTATCCAAAATACTGAGTCCATTATTAACTACTGTGTCTTGCCCATCAATGTGTTAAGAAAGTTCTATACATTTTTTCAAAATATAGATCCGGTATTGTTCCGGATATAGCAACAAATATAGCATCGTTTCCATAGCATCTACCTAGTAAACAAAATTTCATAAGCAAAGACTACTGAATTTATTAAGACTACAAATATGTTTCAGTTAATAAATAGAAGTTAATTTTTAATTAACTTTTATAGCGATAAATTATCAACTATGGTTAAAAAAAAACTCTTCCGTATTAATTTTAAATCATATTCAAGGTTAAAATTTAGTCATTTAAACAAATAGTTTAGATCATCTCTAATTTTATACAAGGACTTTATTCTTTTATTAAATTAATTTCCAAAACATTGATACAAAGCAGTGAATAGTGATTTAAAATAAAAAAAAATTAGCAATTTATAAATTGTTAAAAAGAAATTATTTATTCAAAATATTATTTAAAAAAATATTTTTATATAAATGCTTTAAATACACACTTAGCAAATATATATTTTTGCTATATATTATATGGTATATAATATTGCTATATGACTTCGAGACTTTGAAGAGCATTTCTTCACTGACCTAATAGAGGTAAAGAAAGTGGTAGATCAAATTATTTAACGAATATAATGCAACGTTAAATCTAACCCGCATATAGTTATAGTTATGTTAGCATGCGCCTTCTCTACCTAACGTAACTTAAACTACCTTGGATTGTTGATATTCCAATAGTATATACAGAATTTAAGCTTACTTTTTTTATATTTTTTTATATAAATAAAACATTAAAAAACTTTGTGAGAAATGTCAAAAATTTTAATACCAAAACGACTGTAGTGCAACAAAATATATACTATATACCGCAACACTGGAAAGATCTTTGTAATTCAAACAATATTTCACAGCGCCAAAAAGATTGTAATAAGTTTTTATCTACAGAAGGTACTGTTTGATATCACCTGTTCTATTTTCAGTAAATCAATTGAATTTAAGTTCTTTAAATCGCTATTGTCAACCATATTAATGACAATCAATTGCATCTATACATTAATCCAAATTGATTCATCCTTAATTATTGTTAACAAAACATGAATATAAGTTTTCATGCTACAATTACTTCATGAAAAACGTTACAATCACCTTTACACACCTTCTTGAATCCGCATCCTTCTTCGCCATCACGTGTCCTGAAAAGGTTACAAGATTTAATCTCCTGCATTCATAATACCTGTACCCAACTTTCAGGTAACATGAGTTCCTTCATGTTATCTCCTGGACTCTATCTAGGTTTATCTCTTTGTTGGGCGGAATTGAAGACTTCGTTCCAATCTGTTGACGCAGTTCGACCTT